CAAAAGTAACCTACAGATTCAACACAATCCCTACTAAAATTCCAACACAATTCTTTACAGACCTTGAAAGAACAATACTCAACTTCCTAAGGAAAACAAAATAGCCAGAATAGTTAAAACAATCCTGTACAATAAAAGAACTTCCAGAGGTATCACTATCCCTGATTTCAAGCTCTACTACAGAGCTACAGTAATGAAAACAGTATGGTAATGGCACAAAACAGACAGGTGAATCAATGGATTCAAACTGAAGACCCAAACATAAATTCACACATCTCTGGACACCTGATTTTTGACAAAGAAGTCAAAATTATACCATGGAAAAATGAAAGTATCTTCAACAAATGGTGCTGGCATACCTGGATGTTGGAATGTAGAAGAATGCAAATAGATTTTTTTTACAATCCTGTAAAAAAAAACTCAAGTCCAAATGTACTCGCTAATTTTCTGTCAATTTGACACAAGCTAGACTCAGTTTGGAAGAGGGAAGCTCACCAAAGAAAATGACCCTGCCAGATTGACATGTGGGTAAGCCTATAGTACATTGCCTTAATTCACATTTCTGTCGTTCTAAACTGCCCAATCCAAGGCCTTTGTTACTGAAGTCTTAGCAAACTACTGATGTGGGAACATAAGGATCTGCTGTGACTGGCTTGTTTGAGGATGTCAGGAACTTATGTACATAGTGCTTATAAAGCAGTATCTAGAACCTGGCAAGTAATAAATGAATTCTGACTGTACCCACTATTGCTGCTACTTCCCACCTTCTGAACACATCATCTTTGTTGAGACAGACAGCACCATTCTGTCTGCATTACTTCCAGAGTTGACTTGGAAGAATTTATGGTAATTGTATTGATTTGGAGCCCATCTTCTTTATTATCAGCGGGAAAATTGAATTGATTCTCTAGAATGCTTGCATTTACCTAAATGGTCCTTGATTTTTTTTTTTGAATGGATCTTAATGTCTTAACTTTGTGATCATCTTTACATCAGTGGTGAGATGCCTCAAATTCTTCATCAATAGAATGCAGGATGAGGTGCTTTGTCAGGAGACAAGATAACAAAAAAAAAAAAAAGAAAACCATGTGGGCTATTCATTCTGTGCTTTGACAAATCTAGCATATGGTTTTCTCTGTCTCTTGGAGGTGGGCCACATAAAGGATTTGATACAAACTCTCTTTGTGACTGGCAATCCAGTGAACCTGGGCACTAGGAGCCTTTGAGGTCAAAGACCAACATGCTGAGATTTTTTTCTTTTCCCCCTTTGCTTTGGCTTAGTACTGGAAGTGGCAGCATGCCCACCATGATGACAGATCCAGAAAAACCTCTTGTCCTGCTTGTCTCCCATGGCCCAGAGAAAATAAAAGCCTCTTACTGCCATTTGTCCTGGAGACCCTAAGGTCTTTGCTTTGCTCTCTTTCCTTTGTCTGTACCATTTATGTCAGGTACTATAACCCAGTCAACCATCCATGGCTAGCAAGGTCAAGAATGTTAGCAGAAAGCATACAACTTTCACCTTCCTAAACCAGTGTAATTCCTAAGTGTACAAACCCACAGATATATATCCTTTACCATTGTAGTCTCTTTATTTGAACCATCCAGAGTGGATTCATTTCTAATCTGAACCTTAACTGGCATGTACTTGAATGAGAATATTTCTTGAGGAGGGGGAAATGAATAAATAATACTAAGGACATTTGAAATAGTCATAGGAAATCATACTATTTTATATTTACCTAAATTGTTTTCTATATATTATTTAAATGAGGTTATGCCACTTGGGGTGATGATTTTCCTCCTATAATCTATTTACCCCCAGTATCAGGCATAAGAAACACTCAGAGGTTGAAGGTAAGTCCCTTTTGCTAAAGACATCACACAGGTTGGACATAGGACTCAGAAGATATGAGCTGGATGTGACCTGGCTCTTCCTCAAGGACCAGAAGGTGCTATGCAAGCTGCCAAGGGAGAGAAACAAGCAACAGTCCTGCTTATCTGTCATAGCTACCCACAAGAATGACAAGAGCAACATGACATCACCTAAGGCACAACAGGGACACTTATAACCTAGTCATAATCAACAAATGTCTAATTGCACATAAGGTCTGCTCAATAGAAAGGAATTAGGCCAGGTACTGTAACCCAGCCAGCCTCTCATGGTTAGTAATGTCACAGATCTTAGAGGAAAACTTGTCCTAATACCCACAAGGTAGGGTAGCTCTCACTCCTCATCAAAGGAAACTCCTTTTTTTCAGGACCTGGAGAACATTACAGAAAGGCTATAATTGGTTAAAATGCAGAGGACCATGGACCATGAAGTGCCCAACACCAATGAATACGCCTATAGCCCAACCTCTACACCTAAGGCTCAGTGAACACTGTGGAATGGGGGTGATGGTAGAAAGATTGAAACCACTGGAGGGCCAGGAAGTTTGCTTGGAGACTGTGTCTTTTAGATATGCCCATCAAATCTCAGCATTATAGCTTATTAAACAAAACCCAAACAATGGGAATATCAGTTGACATGACAGTACGACTGGAAGAAACCTCATGGTGCCCCATTCATAAATGAGGAGTTACAGGAATTTATGACTGATGAGAGAGGATAGATTAATTTTCCTCATGGATGATGCCCCTACATGGATAAGTATGATTTATTTGTGTATCAAACAAATATTTATTTTGTCTTTTATATTCATATATGACTGAAGATGTACTAGTGATATAATACAGTCTTTGATTCCAGGAGTAGCCAGAGAGACAAATACTTACACTGATATACAGTGAGAACTTGGAAGGAAAGGATCCCAGAGTGTTAGTTCCGAGGGTGTGGGTTACCATCCACTTCACAACTTAGAGTACATCAAGGAAGGCTCTAGGCTGATACTGGGGTTGCCAGGAATATATGGATTGAGGAGGTAGGGATGGTGGTATAAGGATGGTCCACATACTAACATAGACACAAAGTTGAGAGAAGTTAGTGTTTTTTGAGGAGACTGGCATGACCTAAAGATGGCTTGAACACAGTCATAATGGTAATGAATGACAGGAGCAGCATTGAGATGCAGATTGAGGGCACAGACTTTAGTTTCCTCCTACTTTCAACCTAGATGTCTTCTGAGAGCCTCACGAAGAGTTCAAAGAGGGATGCCTTTCTGTAAACACATTCTGCCTTCCTCTGAGCACTTCTTACCCTTAGGAAATAACAAGGCATTTTCTTTAAACTTGAGCAGCTTGTGAGACATTCCAAGGCTGCTAGAAACAGAGGGAAAATGCTTGAGAATCTCTCTTCATTACTAACTAACTAACCCTGACTCAGATCATCCCTGTATGATTGCTCAGCTAGCCTGGGAAAGGGCAGAATGCTTCTACATGGGGTTTCTTTGCTGAGTGGATACCTGCTTGTCTACTCACTGGCGGCCTCTTCCTCTTGTTATGCTTCTAGCTGATGCCTGATTCGGAAGAACCTGGGAAACTGGTTCTCCCAATAATTCTCCCATTGACCTGAGGCATAAAATCTCACTGAGCAAGTCCCAGGATAAAGTTCAGGTCAAGACATCTGAATCTTGAAGCTTCTAAGGTTCAATGTCCTAGTTAGCTTCAGCTTCCACCTTGATACAACCTAGGTCATCTGAGGGAGCCTCCACTGAGGGATTGCTTGGCTCAGATTGGCTTGTGACCATGTCTGTGAAGGATTTTCATTTTTCGATGATTAGTATGGAAAGGCCTAGCCACTTACCTTAGCACTATGCCTACAATGTAGGTCTGAGCTGTGAGCCTGTAAAAGATACAGTTATCTCTGCTTCACTTCCTATCCTAGCCTGCCTCTGTGATAAATTGTGACTTGGAAATATAAGTCAAATAAACCCCTTCCTGCCCTGTGGTGGATTAAAGGAGAAATGTCCTTCATAGGCTCATATATTTGCCTTCTTAGTCCCTAGTTGGTGGTGCTGTTGGGGAATCGTATAAAACCTTTGGAACATGAAGATTTGCTTGAGGAAATACGTCACTGGGGGAGGGCATTGGGAATTTAAGTGTCACCCCACTTCTCATGTGGATGAAAATGTAATCAGCTATCTTCTTGCTTTGGGGACTGTGGTGTTTTGAAAGAAAATGACCCCAAAAGGAAGAAGCACTATTGGGAGGTGTGGCTTTGTTGAAGTAGGTATGGCCTTGTTGGAGGAAGTGTCACTGTGGAGGTGGGCTGTGAGGTCTCATATATGCTCAAGCCATGCCCAGTATTACAGACAGACCACTTCCAGTTGCCTGTGAGTCAAGACATAAGAACTCTCAGCTAGAGCACCACATGCGCTTTCATGTTAGCTTGACTTCTGCCATGATGATAATGGACTAAACCTCTGAGCTATAAGTGAGTTAGCACAATCGAATGTTTTCCTTTAAGAGAGTTGCTGTGCCCATGGTGTGTCTTCACAGAAATAGAAACCCTAACTAAGACAGTGACCATATCTGCTCATGGTCATGCCCTCACACCATATGGACTCTTAACGCTCTGGAACTGTAAACCAAAATAAACCCTTTTTGCCTTAAGTTTCTTTGGGTCATGGTATTTTATCACAGCAACGAAAAGCAACTAGTAAGCCCCCCAAATTGCTTTTGGTTAATGTTATATAACTAACAGGAGGCAAAATAGATCACTCTATCTATCAGCAAAAATAAGTCAGGATTATTATTATTATTAAACATGCTATTGTATGAAAACAACTTATTTGGCAAAAGTAGATGCTGCATCCATTTTAACTTGTAGTTTTCTAGGTAGTTGCAGTCATTGGCAGTTACCCAGATCCCTTGAGTAGGAAGCACAGATTCAGTCCTGCAGATAGAGCCCTATCATTGCAGGTGCAGAGCCCTTAAGGTTGTTACCCATCATTGCAAAATGTGTGCTCTGAACCATTAGGAGGTGGCTGACTCCTCAAACTAGCTCGTCCATTTACAGCAACGAAGATGTTCCACGAACCACTGGCTCCCGTTACCTTCGTATCCTATAATTATGGTCTGTAGTTGGAAATTTCTCTCCTCAGGTAGTGCTTTACTTGTTTCTGAGTCAGGAGATGTCACTTCTCTGCAACCACCCTCCTCTCTGCAGAAGCAGGGAGAGTTCCCGTCTCTCACATTCACAAACAGCTTCAGAAAGGCAACACAGGACAAATGTGACTTTGGCATCCTTCCATTCTGTACCCAGGCAAATTATCTACTCAGTCAAATACCAATTGCCTGCATTCAGTGTCACAGTGAAGTTCAATAGCATATGGACGTTCAATTGATTTCACATTCTCTTAATTATTTCTCCTTCCTTACCCCTTGTCTTCCTTTGTTTCTATATCTGGCTGCCTAACTCTCTCTTGGCTTCCCTAACCACCCTTGCAACTTCACCAAGCTAGTAATTACTCATTTCCCTCACTTTCATGCTTCAAGTGTTTAATGATTTGGAGCCTGGTAATGCAACTTCTGATAAGCAAACAGCTTCCTGCACTGCGGTTTTAAGAAAACTATTTTGAAAAATTCAACTAGTTTATTAATATTCTAAATATTTATCTAAAATGGCTTTAAGACCCTTTTTATTCCATAATTGTTTGGGGCTGGAAATGCCTTCGAATTTAGAGGATAGAGCAGCAGCAATATATCTTGGGATTTTCCCTGAATATAAATGTAAAATGCTATATGTGTATATTGGTAGTCATACATAGTGATAATCAGAACACATCAGAGATTCCGGGCCATTCTATGGTTGTGCAAGTGCCAAGCTAGCCTGCAAACAGTAATTGCATATAGGGAGATTTGTACAGATTCCTTTACCTGAAAGTCATCTTGATTGCATGTTCCACACCATGCCATTTTCACAGGAATAGCCAGCCTTTGTCTAGTGAGGAAGCCAAAATTTATACATAGCAAGACTTGTGTCACTTAGAATTTATTAGTTAATAGAAAACTTGCCTGAAACTCTGTCTCTCATATGTAAAGGAACCAAGATGATAGCCATAACCATTCAGAATTCAGGCTGACAGTGATACACCAGATACAGTACTGCTACCTCCGGTGTGTGGTAGCTGTTGATCTATGGATTTACAATTCTAATAAAGTCCATACATTCAGAGGATGCTACTGTAAGGGAAAGGAGACTAATAGGAAGAAATGTCCTTCTGAGCATTAAGTAACATCTAAAAGTCTTAGGCAACTGCCACCAAATCATAGCTTCTGTAAAAATAACACAACCTAAAACTTTTTTTCAAATACTGAATAGTCTGTCTGTGGTTAGTTCAATAGCCTAATCTTGGTATAGTTTAAAGATAAGCCAACCTGATTTTCCATTCTCTTCCAAATAACTTGTTAGCATGGGTGTTTGACTACTTTTGGTTATAAAAATGACTAAATCTAATGATTAAGATTCATAAATTAAATCATAAATGTATTATATATAGAAAAATACCAAAAGCATATGCTAAAGTAAGGCCCTTTTAGATTTTTCATACCCAAAGTCTATTGCTCATTATTTCATTGCAGAACAATACTCAATTTCTTTCAAAATGGCACCATGGTTTGGTCTGTAATTTAAACTATTTAATTATATTTGTATTTTAGTCTTTATTATTAAAAATAAATTTAAATATATTTTGATCATGTTCTTCTTATCCTCTAAGGCCTTTCAGATTTTCTGCCCCTCCCTATACACTCAACTTTAAATTCTTTCTCAAAAAACTAACAAAAACCCAACTGAACAACAAAACCAATAAAACCACTTCCCCCTAAAACACCCCACCTTATTACCAAATAGAGGCCCACAAAAAAACCTATGGGGTCCATTGTAACTGGAGAGATGGCTCAGTGGTTAAGAACACTGCCTGCTTTTTCAAAGGTACTGAGTTCAATTCCCAGCAGCCATGTGGTGGCTCACAACTATATGTAATGAGATCTGGTGCCCTTTCGGGGAAGAGACCTGGTCAGGTGTTTTCTTCAACTTAGACCATGAAATGCAATATGGAGAAGTTAAAGAGAACCACCATATTCGGGCTGCCCGTGGATGTTTCAGCATTGCAAGGGCATAAATTTCATTTTCAATTATATTTTGACCAACTACTTCTGAACACGAGTTCTGTCCTGGAGTAGTTGATATACATACACGGTATGTGTGTGTGTGTGTGTGTGTGTGTGTGTGTGTGTGTGTGTGTGTGTTTGTGTATGTGTGTGTGTATCTGTGAATGTTTTATTCTTTGATTCAAAAACAAGTTCGTGTTTCTAAAAAATTTGACAAGTGATAAAACTCTTAATTATACTTTGTACAGAGTTAGGACTGCTGATTCTTCCCCATGATTGCTGATCCTACTTTATTCTCCAGCATCATGTTTAAGTCCACGTACACCTGCATGAGAAGTCATTATTGCAACATGTTTTTCTGTGTTCTGCAATTTGAGTAAAGAAACATTAAGAGACTGAAGGTTGTGCTTTTTTGTTTGCTTCATGCAGACACGTACTTTATTCGGGTAGACTAAAAGTGACCACTTGAGAAGGTAATTGATATTTTCTTGCTAATGGTTTAAATGTGAAATGTCCCCATAGTTTCATGTATTGAGCATTTGGTTCCCCACTGAAGCTGCTGGAGAAGGATGATGGGGTGTTTTGTGATTGGACTGCATGAATACATTTTGCATTATGAGATTGTCAAGATCCGATGGGGTCCTAAAATGAATGTTATGGTTTGAAACTGAACTGTCCCTTTTGGATTCATGTATCCATGACAGTGATTCATGACAGTTCTCTCAGTTTAGGGAACTGTGAAACATCTTGCAGGCAGAACCAAGCTAGAGATGTGAGTCATTGGCAAGGTTAGCACTGGGGAGGTTATTCCAGCTAAGCTTTTCCCTGATCTACCAATAAGTGAGCAAACAGCCTTACACCCTTGCTACTATAATAGGACTTGGTCCCACTGTCAAGCTGTATCCACTATGAAGTACTGTATCTACTGAGCTATTGGTCATTATAAGTTCTTCTTTCATGAAACTGCTTCTGCTAGGTATTATGTTATGTTGATGAGAAATGTAGCACAATTGGTTTTTTGTTTTCAGACAAAAATAGAAAATTCTTGTAAATCTGATGTAGTCCTTATCTGAATGTGTGATAAGATTCTCATCCTGGTACTCAGAAATGCAGTAAGGCAGACACAAACTGAATTGATTTTTTTAACTGCTAAAATGAAATAAGTTGTGACATAACAGTTTGGTTTAGTGTTTCTCCCCCTCTTCCTCTCAACCTTCTTTCTTTTCTCTTTCCAGGATTTTTCTCTGTCACACTGAGTGATCCTTAAGTGACTGTATAATATTAAATCTAATGGCCTCAATTACAGTCAAGGAGTTATATAAAACATCCAAGTCATACAAATGTGTTAATAATGTGGCACATTAGAGTAGTCATACATGGATATGATGTGATAATATAATCATATACTATTACAAAAAGTAAAAAAATTGCAATTGACCAAGTGAGTTTTGAGTCTCATCATAAAACTAATAGTATTTTAATAATAAATAAAAGCATTTTAATGATAAATAAAATACTCATGCTCCTATAAACTCTTCACATACTGTGTTGACCCCTCCCACCAAGTCTCAGGGTTCGCCTTGGAAGACAGCACAGAAAGAGGGAAAGACACAAGACAGTGGAGATGTCTGCAGCAGAACAGTGTTTGTGGCACATGACAGGTCTGTTGCATCCAAGAACTCACAAGGCTGTGACTGCATTCACAAGACCCACACAAGGGGAAAGATAGCCAAATCCAGCAGGGTGTTTAGGCACGAGGTAAGCTATTGGTAACTAATGGCTGCTGGGCAAGGGAGAGTCAGTTTTCTTCCAGCATATGACCCTGACTGGCTACCATGCTCCTGATAATCTTACACCCATGGACATAGAGGAAACACTAAGTTGATTCAGTGTTTTATTTAAAAAAAGAAAAAAGAAAACATAGAAACTGGGATGGAAAAGTGGTTGGGTAAATAGGAGGGTGTTGGAGGGGAGGGGATGGAAGTTAGATATGATCAAAACACTTTATAAGCATTAAGAAATTCTCAAACATTAAAAAATAGAAAGGTAGGACTGAGCCAGGACCTAGGCTAGAGCAGGCCTGAGACAGCAACTCCACAAGAGTAGGACTGAACCAGGAACTCCCAAATAATGATATTCTAGGAGTTCTTTCAGGAAGCATCCACTTGTTTCCTGTCAAGTCTGTGCTAACCCTTCTCCAGGGAATGAGACATTAAATGGAAACAAATAGCCAGCTGTGGAGAAATAGCCTTAGGTACATATTTACTTCTCCTAAATGTATTCCTTATAAAATCTTAAATGAGTATTAAAGCTCTGGGGGAAAAGATGCATTTTTTCACCACATGTTTTCAAGAATGTGAAATGACTAGAATATTATGCTACATGAGTGATGTGTGAGACAGAGAGAGAAGCAGTGTATTTTAAAGTACCAAGCCTGATGATTTCACAGAAAATGTATTTCTAAGATGTCTTGGTAAACTCATATTTCTGCAAGGAGACCCTCGAGGACTTGAAGAAAACTGTAGTATAACATCATAGGAGCAATTGGAATACGTTCGTGGAAATATGCCTTCATTAATAATGGAGCTCTTGAGTGGAGAAGGATGGGAAGGCACAAATATTCCTACAGCCAATAGGAATATTTCATAGCCTCTTATAATTTACTAAGCAGCTGCCCCTGGAAAACAGAAAACTATTCTTTTTATTTATACCATCAAAGAGTAACTGTTTTTGAGTTCTACATGAAAAAATTACATATGCTTTCTGTGTATATCCGGGTGCTTTTGCTCAACATGGTTTGTGAGACTCTCCTATCTTGTATATTAACAGGCATTTTTAAATTTTTTTAAATGATTTTATTGAGCTATACATTTTTTTCTGTTGCCCTCCCTTTTTCTCCCCTCCCCTTCAACCTTCTCTCATGGTCCCCATGTTCCCAATTTACTCAGGAGATCTTGTCTTTTTCTACTTTCATGTCGAATAGATCCATGTGGAAGCAAACAGCGTTATCACAGTAAAATCAGTATCCTTCCTATACACCAGTAATGAACACACTAAGAAATAAGGAAAACAGTTGCATTCACAATAACTCAAAGATACATACATACATAGATATGCATATAACAACATTAATTTTCCTAAAGAGGGTATGAATTTGAAAGAGCAAAAATGGGTTTAGAAGGAGTGAATTAAAGAAACAAAAGATGCAACTATATTATAATATCAAAAAGCGAAAAAAGAAAAATAATGACTGAACAAAAAAGTTGGAATAAGCCTAAACCAAGAAATTGAAAAATATCTACTATAAAACAAAACACTGGAAAAAAGACATTAGTAGATGAATCCCCATGCTCATTCATTGGCTGAATTAATAACAAGAAAATAGTTATCATACAAAAGGTAATATATGGATTCTATGTAATTTCAATAAAAATTTCAGTGCTGTTTTTAATAGGAATAAAAATTATTCTTAACACATATATGGAAGCATAAAAGATCCTGACAGTCAAGGAAACCTTGATCAAAACCAAACACATTAATAAACAAAACAAAAAACTGAGGCATGTGTAACCACATTTGACTTTAAGCTGTAGTATAGGACCATAGTAATAAAAGCAGCATGGTACTGGCATAATAACAGATACTTTCATCAGTGGAATAGAATAGATGACCCAGATACAAAAGTATACAACTACCGCCACTTGATTTTTTCAAAGAGGCCAAAAATACACATTGGGGAAAGAAAAAGAGAGCATCTTTGAAATTGGATGTCTAAATGTAGGAGAATGAAACAATTCTTATCTCTCATCCTATACAAAAATCAACTGC